GTTTATATAATTGTGTGGTGGCTGCTAAGATAACTATACCTGTAGTGTAGCTGTATGCATCTCATTTAAAAATCTCTTAATTCTTCTGTCTGTGGTTTACATGAGTTACATACAATTGTATCTGATCCTCACGACACACCTGGGAGCTAAGGAAGTACCATCCTTCAGATGTGCTTGGGGAACACATATGCAGGGAAATTCTTCCTTCACTTGTCTAGAAAATAGTCTTTCTCCCCTTTCTTCCTTTGAATTGTATTTATTTCCAAATGAGACAGAATGAAAATACAGTATAAGTGTTAGACCTGTGCTAGATTTAAGTCCATTTTTTTAGGTTCAAAGGAAATCCAGCATTAGGTCATTGGAAAGGGGGGACTGCTTCTGCTTGGGCAAGAGCAGGGTTCCATCAGCAGGGAGCTCTTCTGCCAATGAGGGCAGGCCCAGAACAGAGGAGTCAAACACAGGAGAGAAGGGGGAGGAGGGAAGAGGCCTAGAGTAGAAGTGAAATCAAATGGACTAGAGGGAAGGGAATAAACTACTTGAGAAATGAGTAATTGAGAAATGGCTTGCAATTCCTTTTCAGTATGCAATTTCAGTAAATTCACACTTACTAAACAATTAAATATCAGTACCAGTATAGGCAGAATTAGACTGCTCAGTGATTAACTTAAGTGCTGTGAGTGGTTTAATTTCTGGGTCATGCAGTTATACCAGTCCCACTCAAAAGGAAACTCTGACCATATGTGAGATCTGCCTTATAAAATTTGAATTTTCAAACAGTGGCTAAAACCATCCATGGTTAAATTTGTTGAGAGTTATTAGATTAGGATGTTTTGATTGTGAATTCTTTCAGGTTATAAAAAGTTGAGTACAGTTTGAAGTTATCAGGTCTTTACAGGAAAAAAGCAGTGGCTGTTCTGTCACATGATTTGTTTGCAAATATGATTACTGCCTATTAATTTAGCATTAATAGAGTGTAGAATTAAAGAATTTGTTGACAAAATTAAACATTTCACAGAGAAGAGTAAAAAGGAAACATTTCAGGGTAGCAAAAGCAACAAGTAGAATGTAAGAATCTTGTCTGTCTTGGGCTTTTTTCAGTCAAGGGATGTAGTCACTGCCATGTTGTGCTGTGTGCTGTCTCCTCTTTTGTTACCCAGCACTTTGCTTTCACAGGCAGATGCCAAGAAGAACTAATCCTTCTATAGCATTCTGCTTTGTCAAGATCTGAGTCCTTGTTTCTGTGGCTTTTTCTCTGTCTTAAAAGACACAGATGTCCTAACTCAGCCAAACAGATATCCTGTAGGACTTTTTTAGCCACTCTTCTTAGCTGTAGGAAATTTGTACAATTCAAAGAATAGCCTGTCCAAATAACACTTCTGACCATCATTAGGTTTTGGAGTATGTTATTTTTCTTATTCTGTGAAGATTTTATTATGTCAGTTACCTTTTCTCAGCACAGTGAACAGTACAGTCCACTTCTTGGGTGAGTTGCTCTTTTATTATGAAGCAGAAATTCTTCTTCTAGCTCTTCTGGTTTATGCTGATTTTCCATAGCTGACAGGTTAATGAACCTGTTGCTTATTTGTATTTGTTGGGTTTCTGGAAGGTGAGATGGGTGAGTTTATCAAAATGTGATTTGTAGAACAGCATTCACAAGAAGAAAACCTTGGTTTTCTAAGGTCCCCAGACCAGGTATGCAGAAACTGTTATCTCAGCCAAGCAGACATCTGTGATTCAGTGGAGGCATGCTTGTTGCAGGAGAAGCCTTCATTTAAAATCCATGGCCTGAAGGCATGACTGTTTATCTGGGAGGATGGGGAGCAGTATTTCAGTCCTTGTTTTGACCTGGCCAAAACCTGGTGATCGAGAGGTTCATTTTCCCTATTTCTGGCACATATGTTTCTTTTCCTGGGCAGATGCCCATTTGCTTCCTTGGTTTTCTAAACCTGAGCATCATATCTATGAGGAGACTCAAAGGGTAAATTCATACATTAATCCAAAGTTTCTCTTCCTGGTGTGTTGTGGAGAAATGAATGTGTTTGGCCATACTTTCTAGGTTTTTGGTTTCATCTTGGAATGTGTTTATAGCCAACCATTTTCCTATTGCAGCTTCTCCTTTTGGCTGATTTCCTTTTTAGCCCAGTAGTTTTTCACTGACCTGACTTAGGAGAAAGGTATTCATAGCTGACAGACTTCTGGTTATTTATGGACTTACTTATTTCCCCTCTAATGTTATACTTTGTGTTAGGTCCTTATTCTGAAAAAGAGGCTTCCTTGCATGTTAGTCCCCTTGCAAATGAAGGGAAAAAACTGCAGCTGCCTTACGGGAGAGGTTACAGAGCATTTCTCAAGTCTCAGTAGCGTCTTTCATTTCCTGCCAGTCTTGCTTTAGCCCGATTAGCTGCCACATAGATCAGAGCAGGAGGCCACCAGGAAACAGAATGGTTGCTTCAAAGCCTTATGCACTGCATTGGTTTCAAAGGAGTGTGCAGACAACTGATGCTGTGGATTCTGCTGTCCTAGAGCCTGAAGCAAGGATTGGGTCCTTAAGATCCTACATTTTCTGCAAGTTGACTGAGCCATCAAACTAAGTGACTGCCTTTTCTGTTGTCTAATCCAAAGTGGAAACTCCAACAGAAGATAATTCAGTAGAGCTGGTGAGTCCCTATAAGCACAACTAGTGAATCTGTCATCACTTGCTGCATAAGAAGCCAAAGTTAGCTGAAGCATTGTTCTTTTATGTAATACAGGGAAAATGGCTCTGGTCCAGGCAATCCAGAAGCATGAGGAGCCAGACCATCCTGTGATGTTGGCCTGATTAGCTGTAAATAATCCTGGCTCAACTCCTCTGTTCTCTATCTGCTGGTTTTGGTGAGGGGGAAGACTGAGTGTTTCCTAGGTACTGGGATAGCTCTGTGTATATGAACTAGACTATCCGTGCTGTGATCCTTGCAGGAACTACTTTTAGTACACGCTCAGAACCAAGTGTGGGGGCAGAGAGTGGCCCCACACTTGTACAGAAGTGTCTGGGTAATTAACTCAGCCATTAGGTAGGAGCATTTAAATCCTTGAAGATGTTTTCTGTGGGAAATACATCATAATCATCTCCTCGGGCACCAAAAAGAGACAAGGTTAGATTCTGATGTCTGCCTAAATTGCACATCAGAAATTTAGGTGCTGGTTTTGAGTCTCACCTGGAATAATTTGTTCCATATCACAATGATTTAAACCTAGTCTTGCTGCCAGGGTAGCACTATCATCACTTGGTCATCTTTACTAGCACATCTGTGTCCACTGACAATCTGGCACAGTACAGCAAGGGCTCTTTCGGTCCCACAGGAACAAATGCCAATTAGCAGGGGAGAGCAGGAGTGGACACAGACCCAAGTCACAGGGGGTATTCCAGGATAGCAGCGTTACAGGTGTTCTCATAGTGGCATCCCAAGCCTCGCATATTAATTAACCTTTCCCATAGCTGCTGTATGTGAAAGGTCTTTGATCTATGAATGAGCCCAACACTTGATGCTTGTTCACTGTGTGTTAACAGCAGAGATATTATTTTTAGCTCCCAAATTCTTTTTCTTCACTATTAGAGCTGAAAGACCTTTCATCCTTAAGGGAGGCAACTGTTCACAACAGTGTATTGGGGACAATGTGCTACATGAAGCTGACACTTCCTTTAGGAACAATTTTTTTTCAGAATGGATAAATGGCTCTTTAAATAGCTATTACAAAATCTAAACGAAGTAGTCATGTTTTATAAAGTTCTAAAGAGAACTGTTGTCTTTGGAACATGTAATTTGCAGATCTCACTGCAGTAATCCTTGATTTAGAACAATTACAGCACTAAGTACTTGCCGTTTTTCCCATTTAAAAAACAAAACCAAACCAAAAGCCAGACAGGTTTCCAGCAAAGGCTGGGATAATTGAATGGAAACATAGCCAAGTCTTGCAAAACTCCAGTATACAGTCGCTATTCTCTCAAGAGATATTTTCTCCTGCCATATGAAAGCCTGGTCACTTCTTTTTTTTTTTTTTTTTTTATAAAATTTTTTTTTTTTTTTTTTTTTTTTTTTAACATAATCACCAGTTGCTAGAAATAAATATTGCAAGAACTAATATGCTGGTTACAGCCTTAAATCTGGGCTTGTGTGCAGTGCACACTGGTTTAAGAGGAAGTTGTTTTATAACATTTCTAATTATGAAATTTCTTATGCAACCAAGTTAAAGGGTCATTTATAAACAATCCAGTTCCAAAGCTTCCTTAGGCAGTAACTGACCTATGTCAATTTTTGTAGCTTAAGCTTGACTCAGTCCAGTCTCACACCTCATTCACAAATTGATGGAGTAGTTCCATCTATGGCTCCAGTGTCTGGGTTTTTTTACATCCCTTAGTAGAAGTGAGGCAGCTGTGCTGCTTGCTATGGCAGGAACATCTCCCAGGCACCACTGGCAGTAGGCAGGCCATGCTGACTCTGGATCTCAGACCATGAAACCAGGCCTTGCACAGCTGATTCTGCAGCCAGCTGCAGTTCCTGATTGAGGAATAATTTATACAGCTACAAGAAATTTAACTGTAGGCCTCTACTTTTTGTATAGGCATGGAGCACATCCAGAAAGAAGCAAAATTATATTCATAATCATCAGCCTAAAACCACTGTGCTCTTCCCTAATATTCTGCTAGGAAAATGATGATGGAGGGATCCTTAATACTTCCACTTAGGCCAAAGCTAACTGAGCAGCACAAGGGACCACTGAGCCTCGCCATTCGTCATTCCTGGTATGGAACTGAGACTTCTGCTCACTTTTCAAAGGAACAGTAATTTTCCAAAATCATTTCAGGTAAGCAAACAGCCGAACAGATACATTGTATTTCCTACAACAAGAGACTGAGCCAAGTCTTCAGCCTTACAAGTGACTGCCTTCCTGAGCTTGCTTCTACCTTTGAGGGATTCTAGCAAAAACTGTTTTTTGTTTCATTTTTAAGCCAATTTTAAATACAGTTAACTTTCATTTTATTACAAAGCTTTTATTATAAAACAAATGCTCAGCACATTAACTCAAACTGGAATGACAAAAAAAAATTGGTTGACAGTATTTTTGGCAAAGGCTGTGCCTTACTATTTTAAAAAATGGGTACATCAATGCTCATTTCAACAACTGGCATAAAATCCCACTAACAGGCTAACAAAAACAGATACAAATACAGAACAATTGAAGTAATAATTCAAGTGCTGGGCTTTTTACAAGGAGAAGGGGAATGGGTGAGAAAGAGAACTCACTGCAGTCAGATTTGCTGGATGCATTGCTTATGTTTACAGAGTAGATGATGCAAGACTAACATGTCTACTGACCAGCTGACTGTTGTTACATTTATTTAGTTCTATAGGACACTGTATTATATAGACTGAGGCCACTATTTGTTACAAATAGTTTAACAAAACAGCCACCTTTTTTCCATACAGGTTTTTCCTCTGGCAGAAAAAAAAAAGAAAAACTCCTTTTATTTAAAAAGTATTTCAGATTTCTGACACTTGTTTAAGCTCATACCTAGTAAAATATACACCAAAGAAATTACAAACTAAAAGTTAAAATATAAAAGCATTCAAGTTTCTTAAAAAAAGCTAAAACCAAAATTGATCCTGTCGCACCATTAAATAAAAAGAAGTTTGAGCGCGTCATCCTGATCCAGGTAAATTCCATCCCTCGATGTGCTGTATGGGGCAGCTGTGGTCTATGTAATTCTGCTGGCTGAAGCAGGCACAGACAGCCATGCTACTGTGTTTGCTGACTCAATATGGACACAGATGAGACGGGGCTTAACAGTGCAAGGCAGAGGTGAAGAACAAGCTGCTCTGCTGACCCAGGAGCTCATTTGCTCTATTTATATCGGGGCTGGACCTTGTGATAGTGAAGGATTTTGGCAGTGATTGTCTTTATGATTCAGTGTCTCTAGCAGTGACATCAGGGTGAATGACATCCTAGACAGACTCCTTGGGGTAGTCTGTGCAGATGAAGGACACACCTAGGGTTTAACAAGCTTCCATCTCCAGAAGAGGTCCTGGTGTCGCCGCCTTTGCTTTGCAAGTTGAGAAAGCATTTCTTTTCCCACCTACAGGGAAGGGGGGGAAGAGAGAGAAAGAGAGAGAGTGTGATAAAGACTATCTGAAGCCTTTAAAAAAAATAATTCTTCAAACAAGCTGGTGACGAGTCACTGTAACTCTTACAGTTCTATTAGTGGAATGTGCATTACAAAGTCAAAGTTAAATGTAGAATTTATTACTACTTGCTTTTGGTTGAAGTTGCAACTATATTTATGGAAAGTACTTTGCATTGTAAAGAGATACCAACTAGAAAGGTGGGGTTTTAAACATCCAGCATATTACAGATTTTCTTCCCTTTAAGTAGTGGATTTCATTTATCTACAACATTTGACCCAGATACCATTACAAAATTAGACATCCTTGGGCTTTAGTACTGCAGTGCAGTGGTTGAGGTCAATTAAACCTCTATTTCAGAGCCTCAAGTGCTACTCCCTGCAGAAATGAAAAAAAGCTGTCTTCTGCAAGCAGTTTGGTAGAGGAATGTGGTGGATGAGGCTTGTGTGAACACTGATTCTACCATCCATCCTCATGACTGGGGAGGATTTGTTCTGCTCTTCAGTGGGGTAGGGCACATCTGCAAGCTGTGTAAGAACCATGGGCTTCCTCCATAGCAGTAAAGTTCACTAGATCTTGGAAGGATTCTTAGAGCATGTGAAATGGCCCACATACAGGCCTAATAGGAATTGGTCATCCAGAGGAGAACAGTCTAGGTCTCAGGGTTACATTAGCTGATTTATGAAATTGCCAACTCAACCATCGCCCTTGCCATTCTGATCCAGACAAGTGGGTTATAACAGGGTCTCCACCCAAAATCTAACGAGTCAGATGTTTTTCCACACATGGACACATGCTCCCCAGTAACTGTTTAGGGATTATTGGTATTTCAGAAAAATCAGCATTAACCTCTAGGTTTCTGTGTACTACTCAACTGCCAAATAAGTAGAAGGTTCAATGAGCAAAGCTTTAGAGTGATCAAAATTCACACAAGAATGCAGTTCAGTGGAGAAGGTAAATGATTTTTCACCAGAAGAGACACAAAATGCTTAGTCACATAAAGATACACTGCCAGCACCTTGAGTCACGCAAGGCAAGACAGAACAAGTTTATGAAGAAATGGTTTGAACCACAAGTCAAACTTCTTTTAGACTAATCATGATAGATAGACTGCTTAAGCCTGCAAGAGCCACAAGCTGAATTAATCAGCAAATTACATTGTGTTACATTTCAGCAGTATTTAAACCACGGCCATTTATAACTAAGCACCTACCTCCCATCTGCCGCATCTTCGATGTAATCCATTACCACACAAAGTGGCTGAGTAGTGTGGCAGCTCCTGAGTAAGGAGTTACACTGCCTCATGCAGTCCAGGGTAGAAAGCCTCTGAAACTGATTTTGTACCCTTTGATTTTAATCAGCGGAAGCTGAGGCCCCAGAATCTTACTAAACAAGTTGACTCCTTATCAGAGGTCACCCATGTAGCTATTGTTATAGTGGAAAGGAAAGTTGAGGACACTTAAGTTTAGCTGCAGACTAAGGTAGAAAAGACCAGCATGAATTTATAGCAAACTGCTCTGTATAGCTTAGGTTTGATGCAGACTCCCTTGTTGCCTATGTAGTGCCATCCCTGATACGTAAGGAATAACTTACATCTGTTGCTGGTAGCCACAAAAGGACATTTAAAGCCACTGAGGCCTCTTAAACAGCACAGCTAAAAGTCCACTGGTAAGCCAGCAGTTTCGACAGAGGTGGTCTGTATTGACTAATTCAGTTCCTATTTCCTCATAAAACCAGCCCATGTCCCAACTAAAAAAAGCCTCCTGAGCTTCCTGCCTTTTTTTAATTTTTTATAAAGTAGCGCAGTGCTCCGTAACACGTGTGGATCAAAGAGCTACGAAGGGCTCTACCTTTCCAAGGAGCACGAAAGAGAGGCCAAGCAAACAGCATAGACATACTGGGGAGAGCACCCTGCAGCTTTATATTTATTTTGTGCCTTTTCATCCCGGCTTTTCAAAGGTTTGGTCCAGGTTGCTCTTCCTGGGAAGGTTTTCCTCTCAGTCTTACATGAAAACATTCAGCTTCCTGTTGAGGAATGGCCTTGAGGCGCCAGGCCAGTAGTTCACAGCAGTCTGATACAAGCGCTGTGATTCAGAGCTACTCCCCATTAGCAGCCAGGAATGTCTACTTCACTGAAGGAAATGAAATGCTCTTCTGTTGAGATGGTTCCCTGCCTCCTCCCCCCTTCCCTTACCAGCAAGCTGTCTTTGAAGTTAGGAGGTTAAAATAACGACCATGGCCTTGCTCTGGCCCTCAGCTTTTTCCAACAGCAGCCATTGCTTCTTTCTCAACCCAGAGGCAGCTTTTGCAGCGCCTGCCTCCTTTCCATAGCTCCTAACTATGCCCAGCTCCTCTAGAGAGGCTGCAGACACCATGGTGGTTCTGAAAGGGGACAGGCACAGGGAAGCCCCATGTATTTTTATTTCCAAGCAGTACAGCAAATTATAGAGTAGCTATCCTGAAAACAGCATCTAGAACCCAGCCTTTCCCCTGCTGCACATTAAGGCTACATGCTGGAAATTTCTTCTACTGCTGATAAACCAAATAATACCTAAAAAATACGAGTGATGATGGTGTTGCCTTACAGATATAAAACAGGTCAAATCAGGATTCTTTTCAAGAAACCACAGGCATGTGCTAAGGAGACTGAAGACTTCCCACATCTAAGGCTTCACTGGGGGGCTGCAGCTGAAGTCTCGCCAGGCGAGGCATGCCCTAGCAAAGCCCAATCCACAAGTGAAGTCGGCACAAATCAAAGACTGCAATTACAGCTCCCTGGCTGTGGTTAGGCTTCAAAGAAAGTGCTGCAAGTCACATTTTACATATGTGAAGTCTTGAGCCTGAGCCACAATAGGAGGCACTGTCTGTGCCATTTACAGTGTACATCAGACTGCAGGAGGAAAGGGGAAAAAGAAAACAGACATACGATTTAAGAATAATGAAGTGCAAAAAGAAAAGCCTTACTATCGAAGTGATAAAACTAATTCAGGAATTGCTACAGTAAAACTAAATTTTTCTAGCAAGCCTGGGCTCAGTGGCTGAGGGGATCACAAGGGGATCCGAAGTCCTCCCCATGCTTCAGAATGAGATGCATGAAGGGTGGGTCTGCAAAGGTCTTGTTCTCCTCCTCTGGTCTTTTAATTTTTCTAGAACAAGGGAGAGAATTATGCAGCTTCATCCAGGTCATGCTAATCAGAAAAGGCTACAGAAAAAGACAGAAATATCCGGGTCAGTACAGGAATAAGCATGGAGTAAAAGAGATACCTAACCCTTCACAGAGGGCAAGGGATATTAAACGTTTTAAATGAGCTATTTTTTTCCTACACCTTTCCCTATCACATTGTTTGGATACAGTTCTAAGGAGACAAAAGACTACATATAACTGGCAGTTACATGTTTGTTTTTTTTTTTAAAGAAAAAAGTTCATCTCCAAACCTGGTACTTCTAGTAACATGGCAAATTTAGGGACCCAAAAGCTGAAACAATAATTTTCTTTGTAAGTAAGTCAAAACGAACATGTTGGACTTACTGCCTGCCATGGTTTATTCAAAACTCCAGAAACCCGGCTATGCAAAACCGGGGCATTATTTATCAGGGCAGTTCATGGTGTTTGTGAAGTCCCTCTGTGTTTTCTTTAACAGCAGAGCTGGAAAGGGTTTCAGGCGCAAGCAGATAGATGCCGGCGCTGCAGTCTGCTCCTCTTCCTGCCCAGCTGTGCCATGGTTTGTGGGTTTAGCCCAAACCAGATCCTTGAGATGTTCAGGGCAAACACAAACAAACACTCCACAACCCTTGTTGTTTCTAAACAAAAAAGCACCTCCCAACAAAACCCCAGTCATTTAAGTAATCCAATTTGCTGCAGGGTCCTACAAGCTGTTACACAACATGGATGGAGAGACCTACGGGAGACAGGAAAAAGCCCTCTCTGTACGAGCTGGATACCAGCAGGCAGCAGAGGAAACATTTTAAGCTGCCTTTGTATTCAAAGAAATGACATAAAATTGTACCAAAAAACTGTAACAGATGCTGCCATGTTGAAACTATGCTACTATGACGTTTTTCTTGCTAACCCCTCCATCCCCCTTGCTACTTTTAACCTTGGTCCATTGCTGCTAACTGTGAATGGAGACTCCAACAGCAAATTATTCACTGCTGTTTTAAATGCCCGGAATTAACTGTCCCTGAAAATACCTTTCCATTAACTACAGGTGCAGCTTGGAGTCCTAACTTCTGTCCTCATAGTTTGACCTCAGCTAGATGCATTAAGTGAGCAGCAGGAATATTCCTCCCACAGCCTTCCCAAGCCAGAGACCTCTTCCAGAGCAGATTAGTTTCAGCACAGAAAATGCCCAGGTATTTTAGGGTTTCCATTTTGTGCAGCTGATGGCAATGATGCCAAGCAGGTGTGGCTCTTATCAAAGGCCCCCAGTGTAGGCAGCACAAAACTACAAGCTCTATCACTTAGCTAGAATCTTTGAAATTATCTTACTGGAAGACCCAAGACATGTTTTTCCTGTTGGGTGTGGGAGGGGAGAGAGGCTCCATGTTTATAATAAAAACCAGATTGCCTCTAGACAGCTGTCTCTAGCAGCTTCTTAAAGTGGAACACTATCCTAAAGGCGAGGAAGAGGGAGGAAGAAACCAGCTTGTCTCCTTTCTGTATCTTTATGTCATATAATAAATATTCAGAAGACTATTTTTTAAATTACTTTATTTCTAGACTGAGAGCTAGGAGCACTGAAATTGCTACTTCAGTTTTCACCTGCTGTAACAGAGAAGAACATAAGGTATTGCTAAAGCAATAAGTGAAAATTCTTTCAGAAGAAAGAAATAATATGGGTACAGTTTCCTTTGTAGATCTTTTTTTTCCTGCCACAATTAAACATAGGTTAGAATTTACAGTACTTTGAAAGACAATCTCAACTGTTAAATCTTCAGATACACGGAATAATTT